CATAATTCGAAACAAATTTGCACAATTTAAAGTTCTTATTGCTTTTTTTTTTTACAAAATTTTATAAAATGATGGAGGAAACTGTTTTTGTGAGAATTTGGAATTTAAATGGAATTACTATTATTATAATACGGTACGATTATGTGCGATGTTATATCATTTTATTTTGAAGTGATACTTTACTCGTTACTATCTCGTAAAGAAATTAGCGGTAGATACGAGAAAAATCCCCAAGTGCAAAGGGTTAATATATTAAAAAATATTTATGTATTAAAAAGTAGAATTTCATAAAATTATATCTTTGTCGAATCGAAGAAGCGAATCTTTGAGATTTCCTTAGATAGGAAAACATTTTCAAATATTAGAAATAGAATTACAACATTAATGTTAATATACTGAAAAATGAAATTATTTACATATTAAAAGATAGACTAAAAGAACAAAATGCTGCTATCTTTAGAAGTTTGTTAGTTTAAAGAAATGAAATTTTAGAATCTGTGCGATAAAAGTTCAATAGAAATAAATTGTTTCAAAACGTTTGTTTGAACAGTCCCATGAGATAAGTAAAAGCATCAAACGTCTTGTTTAATAATACAATATTATTGAAAATTCAAATGGTGGTTAAAACGCCAATATTATACTTTATAAATATCATGTTTATATTCAGTAAAGTCCTAACTGTTCATTTCTAAATCATGTTCTAAAGAGAAACAAGTTTTGAACTGAATGTTACAAATAAATAACATATTTAAAATATAAATTTAATTGTAATAACTATTTAACGAACAAATTATCTGATTCTTCATATAGAAAGATTTCTATTTTCATATTGTGCCATTCAATATGTTCTAGTTTCATACAAGTATCATTCAGACCGAAACTTTTTTTGTCTGTTCTCATTAGAACTTATAACGTGAGAATATATTTGAAAAGAATCTTCACGAAACTTATAAAAATGTTCCACAGTTTGTTCGATCTTTGATAAAAATTCCTAAAATGTGCATACAACAAATTCCTACATTTTTGACTTATATAATCCATTGAAATTACCAAAAACAATCGATGAACAACAATCTCAAACGAAATACATCGTATTTTGAGGAAAAAAGAAGAAGGGAGAGAAAGACAATGGCAACAACGTGTACTCACGCTCTCGAACTTGTCCTTGTTTTTGGCGTGCTGAGCGATGAACCTGGCGTCGTCGATGGTCTTCTCGATCTCGCGAACCAACGGCTTCTCGAATGTGGGGCTGACGTCCTCGTGAACGTATGCGGGGCTGGCCGGGCCAAAGAGGTCGTCGTCAGCCCCCGGCAGTGGCAGCGAGGGTAGTGGCTCCTCGAAGCAGGGCGCTACGGTGCCCACGGTGGCCACAGCGCCTAGGTCGTACCTGGTCGCCGACGGTGGCAACCCGTGTGCAGGTATCTCGTACTCCCCGCTGAACCTGTTGCCGTAGTACGTGTCGTACTTATCAGTCTCTTGTACATGGAACACATCGGTGAGCATGCCCTCGGGCGGTTTCCCGTTGGTCGCTTCGACGTCGTCGTCGTCGTCGTCGTCCTCGTCGACCGGCTCGCCGTCCGCTGTCACGCCGACGACACCGACGCCGTTCCTCCCCACCTCTTCCTCCTCCTCCTCCTC